GACTCGAGAGATGAACTAATCAATTCTCTTTCCGGCTCAGACTGCATTGGTTAAGCTTATGGGGCTGTCACGTGATGAACGAACGATTCGGAAAACTCGAAGACTGGAAACAGGTGAACTACTTGACTAATTCCAATACAGAACCATAGACTGTGTACAGAACCTATAGGATGTTGCGCATGCGCGACTGAACGAATCACTCCCCGAGACGACTCGTTCTTCCCGAGTCACATTAAAGATACGTTCAAAATGACGAATTGTTCAAGAACGACCCAACTGTAATAATGTAAAATATGTGAAAAATTTATTTTTCGAACAACCTAGTATGAGAGCCTGTTCTAGTACACCCCCAAAACAAAATCAAGACTTTGTAAAAGAGCATAATATCTCTGCATAAAATCTCAAGTCCATTTGCATAAAATATCATTATTGGTCTAATTCACACTGTTATTTCTTAGTCTATGTCAATTTTTCTTTTTTTTTTCAGGTATAACAGGTACATAAAAAATTTTTTTTATCAGTGCAAGGGGCATTATAGGTTTGATCAAGGGAAAAATATCAATTCTACAGCAAGCGATTCGACACAAACCATTAATAAACAATTTTGCATCAGTCATTATAACACTGTGGTACGTTAAAACAGCAACCCCAGGAAACCTTGAGAACTTACAACCACTCAAAAGAAGATATGCTTTATGAACACACTTAAATGGTTTTCATGACATATTCAGCACATACTGTAAATACTTCTCCCCAAAACTCCAATGTCTTGTAATGCATCATACTGTCAAAGACATGACTGCGAGCAGCTTCTCACTGGTTTTTGGGTCAATAACCAGTAAATGGTGCAAATGTCGACAATGTATTGTTCTCGGAAAGTCATGTAAACATGTAAAATGTCTGATAAATGCAACGACTGACAAGCTTTAGCAAAATGAGGCAGTGGTGGGGAAAGGCAATGACACTGATGTACCATGTGTGGTCAGACAAACACAGCATCGTAGACAGTACTGAGTCAGATGGAAATCTTCAAGACAGGTTACGAAATTGTGGGTAAAAAAAAATTTAAGTGACCCAACTCGATTAAAAGGAAGAAAACTGTTACAAGTATGAAATATTTGTATAATATAATGTATATACAAAATCCCACATTATTTTGCAATGAACTGTAGTTTAGTTTAGTAGTTACGTTTGTTTGAAAAACCTTTCATAGTTCAGTCAAATGCAAGCAAGCTTTAGCTCTACAAATGAAGACTTTCTTCAATATCAACCAAGAGCAACAGTCTTCACAAATGCTTCAGGAAGTTGCTTTAGATTTAGCACAAACCCATAAAAATCAGGATCAATAACTGCCTTAAGATGGTTAACAGTTGAAATGTGAAATGCAAATCAATATCATATAGTTGCTTGAGGGTATTTATGTAATGTACAAATCTAGGCTAACTCGTTGTTTGTAAGCGTCAAGTCAATAATAACTTCACAGTATATTTTGGACTTATAGATCTACTTTACATGAGAGAGGGGTTATCCTTGTGAACATATTAAAAAAAAAAAAAAAAAAAATGGAACTAGATATGTCATAGCAGCAGTTGTTATTCTTTTCTTTACCCTTTTTTTAAAGTTCTCTCTTTTCTGGAGACCCTGTAGTTTCAGCTTCATGCTGTTTTTCAGGATTGGCACAGAAGAATAGTATAAATTAAATAGTTTGGCCTCTGTATGCATGAAGTACATTAACATTATTTTAAAAAACATAAAAGAAATAAACAATTAACATAAAAAACTTTTGGCAATGTTGACATAGTTTTCTTTTGCAATGGATTTTTTTTCCATCCAAAAGCTTGATCACTCTTATTTGTTTTGTATAAAACACACACAAATACATGGATGAGCTACGGTAATATTCATCTATGCATGTAACTATTAACATCCCTATTACGTTATATAATAAGACTTTGTTCATTCCTATTTTCTCTCCTTTGGCCTTCACCTCCCATTAAAGTGATTGTAGTGTCTGTTGCATTTGAGATAAACATAAAAGGTGCACATCCTCTCCACAGGAACAAGACAGAGAAACGAAGAACGTCCAGGCTGAGAGAGGCACCAAATCTGCTGCTATCCTCTAAACAAACAGTAGAGATGGTCCCTCCGTTAGGCGCCAACTGAGCGTGACAAAGACAATCCCATGTTTTGACAGGATGCTGCAAACTTGTGTACCAGAAGGTGTGTATCCTGCTTGCTTTTTCTTTCCTCTGTCACCTCATTTCTAGCCAGATGGCTGTTGTATTGGAGAAGTTGGTATGCTCACAGGGACTGAGTGAGTGTCTGGTTAAATTAGAGGTAGTTTCAAGGCCATACTGTTTTCTTTGAAAAGAGAAAATGGCAAAAATGACCAAACTTTCTGGCACTCAAGAGAAGAGGACAGTTTGTGTGTGTATGTATGTTGGTATTTGTTATACAGAACTCCAAATTCAGTCCTGGGAAGAAATGCAATACGTTTAAGAATTGTGCAACAGACACACTGACAAAAAGAAAGTATAAGACAAAGAGACAGAGGCTGTGTCCGAAACTGAAGGCAGCTGCCATGCATTTGTTTAAAGGGACCACCAAACGTCCCATCTAATGAGCTAGAATAAATTCAAGTAAAGTTTAGACATAAACAAATATTTAGTGACTACAGAATGCGGTGTAGAAACTCAAGCTTTTTAAAACATGAAAAAAGGGCATTTATGAATTATTGTATTTCTAATCTCTTTATCAGATGTCATTTTATCTCTAACCACCAAACTGAGTGCACAGGATTGTGGAGATATTATAAGTCGAACAAATGGAAGGCAAACACTGGATTTGGACATGTCTTGGTGCCCCCATAGCTTCATTTACTGCCAGAAAAGGTGCGTTTTTCAAGTTTCAGACACAGCTTGAGTGAGAGCGTAGTATGAGAGTGTCGTGCTATGCATCGTTTTCCCGCCCTACCTCTGACAGCTTCTGGGTGAATGTACATAATCTCTCTCTCACGCTATATGTGACCCTGGACCACAAAACCAGTCTTAAGTCGCTGGGGTATATTTGTAGTAATAGCCAAAAAAAACATTGTATGGGTCAAAATTATTGATTTTTCTTTTATGCCAAAAATCATTAGCATATTAAGTAAAGATCATGTTCCATGAAGATATTTTGTAAATTTCCTACCGTAAATATATCAAAACGTAATTTTTGATTAGTAATATGCATTGCTAATAACTTCATTTGGACAACTTTAAAGGCGATTTTCTCAGTATTTGGATTTTTTTGCACCCTCAGATTCCAGATTTTCAAAATATTGTCATATCCTAACAAACCATACATCAATGGAAAGCTTATTTATTCAGCTTTCAGATGATGTATAAATCTCAATTTCGAAAAATTGACCCTTATGACTGGTTTTGTTGTCCAGGGTCACATATATCTGTGCATTATGTGCAGTCTATTCCTAAAGGACTCTGTCCATCCCATCTCACCATTTCAAGCCATCTCAGTTCTCGAGTCCTTCGGTGCACACCATGCCCGGGTAAAGCTGCTGCTGGTTAGGCAGAGGGTCTTGGCAGGGGGTTTGAATGGGGTTCCTTTCCTCGCCGTCGCTGTCCGTGCTGCCTTGACTGTCCAGATGAGGTGACGAATGGTGCGGATACAGGGAGGTTAGAGGCAAGTGGCTCTGAAGAGGGTCCTCGTCCGAACTGAGGTAATCACCTTCTGCAGATGCTGGGCTTTCCAAACATAGGTCCTGATATACGCCTCCACCGCTATTCTGGAACTTGGAGCGCTGTCCACGTAGCCGCCTGATCTAAAATGTTTAAGAGAACGGAGTTGACAATCTCTATACTCTGGCAAATATTCTTACAAATGCACAGCTCTGCAGAAAAGACCATTTTTATTAATGATGGATCAGTGCCTGCCTAGTAGAAGGACCAGCATAAGCAAAACATAGTTAGTGCAGCTGATTGACCAAGTTAGTATAGCTGGTAGGCATTCAAAAAAAACATTGCAATTTTTTTCTGCAAGGGCCTACAACAAGATTTTAAAAGGATATTTCACCTAAAAATGAAAATTTGCTGTTTGCCCTGAGGACATCTAAGATGTAGGTGACTTCTTTTCTTTAGGAAAACAGTACGATTTTTAGCTGAAACCTGGTCCTTGGTGATTCATAAAATTCAAGTCAGAAAGAACCGGTTCAAAAGAATGATTTGTCCGCAAATCGGACATCAATCCAGACTGTTTGCCTGAGGCTATGGATTACAGGTAATAATATTGTAAATAATGTTCAGTTTCTTGCACAGACAGATTGTTTCACTTCATAAGACCTCAATGTATTGCCAGGAGCCACAGGTATTAATTTTGTGTTCCCTGATATGCTTTTTTGTATTCTCAAAGATGTGCAGCTGCTGACTTGCATTTTATGAATCACCAAGGACCACAGTTTCAGCTAAAAACTTCTTTACTGTTCTACTGAAGAAAAAAAGTCACCTACATCTTGGATGGCCCGAGGGTGAGTAAATGAACAGCACATTTTCATTTTTAGGTGAACCATCCCTTTAAAAAACATTTAAGTAAAAACTAACAAAATTGGCAAAAATGGATCATAAAACATAGACTCAATTTTGACCTGATAAAAAGATTAATTCTGAAAATGTTCATAACATGAGTTTGTGATTTATTTTCTGTAGGGCTGGGATTCGATTCCAAAAAGAATTGAAGATGACCTTTGCAATTGATTCCATCAAAGATACTAATTTATAGACTTTTCAGTTGCATAGAGCTAATCATTCATCTGCCTCTTGGTCGCTCGCTACTAGTGATGGGAAGTCTGAATTATTTCTGCAAACAAGTTCTTTCGGATGGTTTGTTTCAATTAATCGGTTCAAAAAAAGGATTGCAGCAATTTTTATGTGTCATGGTATGTAACATGAAACATTCAATGTGTGAACGCATATTGCTAATTATTACCTTTCATTTGCTCAAGTCAATGAGTTTTTTTTTTTGGTCACTCTTTCAATCTGTGATCCTGCATGTTGAATAACATAGAACTGACAAATATTGATTAGCCCACATCTTGGATAAATTTCCTAAAATGAAGTTTTGCAACTAAAACATAAAATACAGACATTGATGCACAAACGAAGATTTGTTCTAGATGTCTAAAGTATATAAAAAGAATAAACTGTAAGACTGGCTTGTTGTCTGGTTCTGCTGCCCACAATGGAAGGTTTTGAGCATCACTCTGTACTACATGAAGAGACAATAGATGCTGACAATAATAACAGAATACTAAGGAAATTTAAAAAGAAGTAAGCATTCACATCATGTAGTCACAGTGAGCTTAGGTGAACATGTTCTTCCAATCTATAAAGAATAGAAAAAGAACTGAAAACAACAGTAAGGAACTCCAGAGTCGATTCCAGAACCAGAAATCTGAATCGATTCAAAAATATCAGTCAACAGCCCTAATTTTCTAAGCATCAAATTTCTTTAGTTTTCTGTAGAATATAAACACTAACATTAAAGGAACACTTCAAACATTTATCCCGCTTAACCGTCCTTTTTTCCACTTGAATTGCTACAGTAATTCCACTAAACTGCTTGCAACAGGTTGTTATGTCTCCATAGCAACAAGTGGTGATCATTAATATGTGCTGATGTAGAATTTAAGCACTGAATATCAGAGAGATAAGAGCAAATTATAAACATGCACTGTGGTCCAGATCACTTTGTCAATCTTATTTCTGTGTTAAATATGCTGTGGTTTATATTAAATGGATTAAGAGGTGTTTTTACTGAGACTTTGATGTTAGACAGATTACGTGCATATTTTGCCTGCAAAACAAAAATAGTGGAAAAAGGTAAAAAAAGAAATTAATTAATTAATTCACAAATTATATGATTAAAGTTTGCACTGAAAGAAGCATGTTAAAGTAAGTTTAATTTAAATTGGAATTAAATGTATTTATCCATTTTATTTACCTACAACTAACTACAAGGCTGTTTTTGATATTTAACTTTTGTGCTACCATTTGTATGTTTAAATCTGCATGTGCACTGGTGAATATGTTTCGCGACTATGGACGTGTGTGAATCATGTAGACTGGATTTTCTTGCGTGACAGAAATGGACCACAAATTTTTGCTCTCATTTCAGATCTTCCCTTCTGAGTCAGTGAGCATAAGTGAGTGTGTTTGTGTGTGTGTGTGTGTGTGTGTGTGTGTGTGTGTGTCCTAACATTCGTGAGAGCCTAAAACAGGTATTATGCTAAAATCTCAGATCGGAAACGTCATGGGTTTCCCAATAAGTGCTTTAGCAATTTGCGAGTGTGGGAGTGGGAGGGGCTGTGGTTAACCAATGGAAAAGCGTCCTGAGACAATCATCTACACAAGCCCCACCTCTCACTTCCTCTGTCTGGTTGATCTCGTTTCAGCCAAAACCACAGAGCAAAAAGTCAGTGCATGGCACTTCCGAATTAGGACATCACCGAGATTTTTAAAAGTATGGTTAATTAAACATTTACAAATCTTAACGAAAAACACATTCAGTGCTGAAATACTGAAAACTGCAAGATGTGCAATAGTGCACAAAGAATGATATATATATATATTAGCTACCTAAAGCAATGTCTGTTCAATGTGTTTGTCTGCCATCATAATGTAACTGTATGTCTCTGAAAGATATAATTAGGGGGATTGCAAATATTGATATATGGATTGATAAATTGCGATTAATCATTTGATTAATTAACTTGCATATGTCAAATTTTCAGTAGTTGACAACCCTAACAAACACAATATATCACAGAAACTGATATATCACAACTCCTCATAGTTTTTTGGTAAATGAAAAATAAGCTAGTTAGTACAAATATATATGACAACATTAAAACAGAGACATTTACCCCATATAAAATATTTACTAATAAAATATTCAATTTTTATTTAAAACATCTGTTATTTTATACTGTCGAAGTACAAAGTAAAAAAAAAAAAGTCCTCTAAAATTCACTATCATCTTGTGTTATATTAGATTAGGAGCCTCTTTAAGTTGTTGTTTTGTTTTGATCAAAGACGATCCAAAATCTTTGGCACTATTGAACATATGGTGACCTGATTTCGTAGCTAAATATGAGCCCATGTAAAACGCTGATGTAAAATCCGTCCTTTGAAAGCACCCACAATGCATCTCAACTCAGTGATTACAGTAACCATGAAACTGGAGCATAATCACTTCACATTTGTATGTAAACACTGACACAAGCAAAGAAATCGAGCGAGAGGAAACGTGAGTGACGATGACAAAATCAAAACGCAAAGAGGGATGAAAACGAGAGATGAGAGACGGAGTGATACATGAACAGAGAGGTGAAAGGGAGGGAAATAAATACAAGAGAAAGAAAATGTCAACACACTCTCACACCCCCTGTCACGAAAGGTTTTTCTACAAATGAGCAAGATCATCACATGAAGTGCGTGAGATCGAGCTGTGACTGGGTGCGTGGGTAAGCACCACAGTATCAAACCATCAAAGCCGTCTGTGTGTGTGAGGGCATATGGGGGGAATGGGGAAAAAGATTTTCGAGTGGTTTTTATTGTGGTTAGGGAGGGTCCCTAATGCCAAGAAAAGCTCTACAATACCACTTTAAAACTGTACAAAGGTAATCGCTAATAAGAACAGTGACAAAGTGCAGACAGGAAAATTTAGATTATAAAATATATAAAAAGCCATACTAACTGGCATAAATTACATTTTAAGAAGAGGAGAAGCCAGGTTTGTGTAGTAACTTGGGATCATGGGATCACGTCTTTTTACCGAAAATAGTGTGGGTTGGACTTTTTTCTGATCACATATGCAAAGATTGTGACAGATAGCAGCTGAACTTGCACTCTAGTGTGTGTACGTGAGTGTTTGTTTGTGACAACCTCACCACATTCTTGAGTTCAGCGATCTGCTCTCTCAGTTGAGTTATATACTGTCTGGAGTCTGAGTGGTTCAGCTGGCCTTGGATCAATCCCTCCTCTTTCTGCAGGCAATACATACACTTACATTTAATTATACTGATATAGTGGTTGGCAGAACTTTTATGAAGTTTTCTAAACATGTTAAACAGACACGGATAATGTCGCAATGGCCTGTATTTCTCACCTGTATTTCTAGCTCGGCTATCTTTTGCCGGAGTTCAGCCATAGCGGCCATGCTGTCAGCTTCTCTTAGACGGACTGCCATCACCTCTTCTTTGCTCTGAAAGAAAGGTAGCAAAATTACTTTTAGAATTCAAAAGTTTTTCTAAAAAAATTCTACATTCTAATTCATGCATTAATCTATAAACCCAAATTCGGTTGTAGTCTTACTATGCCTTTTAATTAGGGATGCACTGATATTAAAATTCTGCCTAATACCGATAAGGTGGTAATTATTTGTCTATGCCCAATGTCTGATGAAAGATAAATGGCATATATTCAACATTTTAGACTATTTTGTCTAAATAAACAAAATGTAAAGCATGAAAATTTTTTATTTTTTAATGTATGGGATTTTCTTATTAAATTGAAAGACCACACTGAAAAAAAATGTCTTCACTTTGAAATAGAAAAAAATGAAACAGTATTTTCCTGTAAAGTCTTATGTTAGCCAATAACCGATATGGTATTGATACAGTATATGACACATCCCATTTACTGTTTATCTCACTGAATATTCAGTTATCTGTTCTTCCTGTATTGTATGACTGTGAATGCACTGCACCTTGCAGTCAGACTCAGCCATCTTTCTTTTAATTTCGTTGAGCTGGCTTTGTAGCGTTTTGTTGTGGGAAAGAGCATTCTGAAGTCTCTCCTGCAGGCCAGTGCTCTCTTGCTCATGTCTGATAACTAGTTTACAGTTGATCTGGTTCTGTGGAAACAGAGAGAAATGTGTGAGAAGGTGAAGTTGTTTGGTTGCTAAACTTTATCTTAAATTTTGAGGAAAACAACAAACAAACTTAAGGGCAAACTTACAAATGCATCATGATTTATGCGTGAAAATATTAGAGGTGCGAATCGTCACTGGTTTCACAATTCGATTGCGATTATCATGTCAACGATTCAATTCAATTCGATATCACGTTGCATCACAATTTGTCACATCCTCAATTTTCAATATTAAGGTACATGGCTACATTTTCATATCAATTTTATACCAATTTTTTTTTTTTTTTGCATTTTTATTAAATTATATAAGCAGGCTAATTTTTTTAAACAATTACAAATTAATAATAAATCAAAACAATTGTTAAGAATTTAACCAACTAAATATAGCTTCAAAACATACAAGCAAATATAAAGTAATAAAGGGGGAAAAAGACAATTTTAAGTGATAAACAAAAAGTACTTTCAGTCTCTGATAGGGATGTTCATTTTATGAACGGATGCCGTTAACCGTTAACCGACCATGAAGAATTTTGACCGATTAATACAATCAGTTAAACGGTTTAAAAAGTCATTTTTAAAAAAATTTTTTTTTTAGTAATTTATCAAAATATTTAAAAAGGTTTGCTGCATGGTTGAAATACGCTATGCGTATAAAAAAAATTGCTTTTTTTATATGAAAAAAAAAAAAACCTTAAGTCGCGTCTAAGTCGCATTTTATTATTTCATTCAGAAATAGGCCTAATGCCGACACGAAATGTTTACAAATATTATAACTCTGTTGTTTGCTGCTTTTTGCGCATGTAAAATTAAACCCCGGGAAACAAATGTTAGTATTTTTTAACGGGTCACAGACACGTATCCTTTCTAATTTAATTAAATTCGAATTTAAAATAATCTTGTCGGTTAACGGTTAATAATCGGTTAACGAGCGTCGGTTAGGAAAAATAACCAAAATGAACATCCCTAGTATCTGAGAAAGTTTACAGTATCCGAATGTTTACAGACATCATAGTTATAGGTTTTTCTTTTTTCCTCAGCACTACTGCTAATTATTACTGATGACATCATAGACAGTGGCAGCATTGATATGCTGCATTCACACTAACGCACAGATCTATTTCGACATATCATATGTTTTGCCCTGTTCTGAAAACATAACTATGTTTACATCAATTTCGTATCATAAAAGTATTCGGAGATGCAAGTGCGTTTAACCACAGCCGTGAGCTTCAGGACAAAAAACACAAAGTGCACGTGAAAGTCTGTCAGTGCGGGAGTTTCGTGCATCTAATACTCGTGTTTTGCTTCCCTCTACCATTTTAAGCTAGTGTGACAAACGCGTATGCGAATGACATCAGTAGGCTATAATCGATTATGGTCTATTATTGCATCGATGCAGAATCGTCCATGTCCGCATCGCGATGCATCGTAGACACAATTACGAGAACACCCCTAGAAAATATTCACATAGAAGTTTTATGTACAAATAAGTATGCATGCATGATAAGTTAGAGTACACACTAATTTGTTTCAAGAGAACTGTGGCTTTTAAACTTATATTTCAGCTAGTCGGCAAGTCTCAATTTTGAAGTTGACGCACTAAAATAACCAAAACTAAAATGAATAAATAAAAATGAATAAATACTATATTTAAAAAAATTGTTTATATAAAAAAAAAATGTAATGGTATATCAATGATACTAAAATAACACTGATACAGATATTGTAGTTCTAACCTGGCTCTCTAGCTCCAGGTTTTTAAATTTGACCTCTTTGAGTTCAGCTTGACCCTGAGCCTCTCGCAGTCTCAGACTCATCAGTTTGTCCTGTAGCTCATTCAACGCATTCTTTTTAGGAGACTCCTTCCAATGGCCTCCTCCTCCACGAGACGTATGATGCTGTGATAGAAAATTACATTTGCAAAGAATTAGATTTGTGGACCAGTAGAGGGTCCAACAAAGTATCTTGCCGCATAAAGGAATTTTCTAGATCCATTTTTCATCCATGATTTTTAATACGAATGCCACAACAATTGAGTTCAGTAGGGTTGTATAGAGATTCTGCACCTGCCAGCAGTGGTTGAGATCAGTAACGGCCTCTTGCATCTCTCTGAAGGAGCGCAGAGTCTCCTGCTCTCTCAGTTTCACCAGCTTCAGCTCATCCTGCAGCTGAGCTACATTGATTTCATCAGGGAGAGAGTTGTTCCTCTACAGCACACAGACAATATTCCATTAAGTACTATACTTCAGCATCATTTAGTAAAAGCTTTGATAGAATATAGTTTTCTACTAGTCATTTGTAAATAATAGTTTCACTTATCATTTGTATGTGCACAAGGCGTATGAGCCGTATCATCACCACTGATCTAATCATCACCACTGAAGCAAAAACCTTCATTTCATACATTAACATTTTTATTGAAGAGTCAAAGACACACATGCACACACCTTTTCCAGATCGAGCACTTTGTCCTGCATTTCTTTCAGAGCACTGAGTAATTCTGCCTCCTGTAGACGAGACTGTTCCAACTGAGTCTGCAGCCCACTCACAAACTCCTCTGTATACTGCAGACAGAGAGACAAAATGGATTGAAACACTGATGACTGCAGAGGAGGCTATAATGGCTGCCATTATATCACATTCATTTATAGCTAAACAGAGTGTGTGTATGGCTAACAGATGGCTAACACACACAAGAATAGACGTAATGATTTTAATACTGTACAAACTGTATTTTCTATCCACTTTCCCTACCCCTAAACCTACCTCTCATAGAAAACTTTCTGCTATTAGAATAAAATAAAAATAAAAAAGTATTTGATTTGTAAGCTTATTTCCTCATGGGGAACAATAATATTTTGGTATATTTGGTCCCCATAATGTAGGAGACCATAGGGGCTTTTATAACAGCCCTAACATGTGTTCCAACAACTTGAAAAAGAGATCATCCTTGGGAGAAATTCTGAAAACCAATCTATCAATCACAAGTAACTGTTGCTATAAATAAAACAAGAACCATGCCAAAAGAGCTCAGCAGTGTCCTCCTGTACCCGTGTAGCATTGTAAAAGCTTAAAATTGTAAATGACATAATTAAGAATGCCTTCCTTCCATCTCAAACTACTTGTTTTTTGTATGTATTTGAATATTTCGCTATAAATTTAAGTAAAATGCATTTTATACTTAAAATTAATGACCAGAAGTCAATCGTTTCATATTGCACAGGCAAACACATCATTCGCAGCATGGGAGGTTTAATGGGAAGTGTAGTTCATCATCTAATAAAAGACATTAAAGTATACAGTCTTGTTGTAATGTTCATCTCGCAGATGATTTGTTTAATTTATGGATGGGAAATCAATGGGAAATGCTGAGAATCCTGGAGAAGTAAGTGGTCCCTGTTGCGCTCTATTCTATATTTTGTGCCAATGTTGCTTGGTAACCATTAAGAGTATATAGATCGACTAATGAACTCTATTTTGTGGAATCATTTCTATTATGATTGTTAGCATAAAAAATTTATTAATTTATTGATACATTGTGCCTAAAAACAGCCCTTACCGTGGTAAAATTACTGTAACACAGTAATTAAACTATTCAATTACTGTAACAAAGTAGGCCTCAAGACCGTTACATCATAAAATAACAATTTCAGCCTCTTTTGCATTTCCAAAGAATTTTAAGTTTATGTATGAAAATCAACCAGTCATTTTGTAAGTGCCTACTCAACAGATGTGATTCTGGAAATTTATTTAGTTAATTTTAGCGATATCCATCACTGAAGCAGCAGTGTTGATGTGACTGTGCTTCTGCTGTGTACTGTGTGCATATACTGTGGCCTACCAGAGGGGGCTGTGGCCTGCCCTGGAGACTTGTGTGAACACTAGTTCCCACGGACTTTTACTTCTGTTTTTCTTACCTCCCTCCATGCTTTCCAGTCACTTCATCATACCCGTATTACTCAGATGTTTCAATCATAGACACTCTCGGTCATTCTACTTCTTGTGTACCTGAAAAGTGTTAGCAGAAGGACTGGACTTTTAACTAAAAACCAAACGCTTTCCATTCCAGTTAGCAAAGCACAGTGGAAATGAACCTTTCTCATATATATATATATATACAGTGGGTACGGAAAGTATTCAGACCCCCTTAAATTTTTCACTCTTTGTTATATTGC